TGACTGATTGCCTTGCTGGTAGCTCTGTATACACTAAGATTGACCTCCAAAGCGCTTTTGACCAGGTCAGAGTCTCCCCTGGCCACAAATAAAAGATTTCATTCTGTACCCCATTTGGGTTCTATGATTACAATGTGATGCCCTTTGGATTATGTAACGCTCCATCAACCTTTCAGGCCTTAATTAATGCAGCACTTCTTCCCTTCATTAATGAGTTTGTTGTTGTTTATCTTGACAATATTATCATATACTCCTCCTCCCTCTCTGATCATGTCAGCCAGTTCCTCCAGAGACTTTGAGAATACAACCTGTTTGCAAAATCTTCAAAATGCTCATTCTTCTAAACTGAGGTTGATTTCCTGGGATATTTTGTCACTAAAAGCAGGTTTTCTGTCCCTCCTAGCAAGGTGGATGCTATCCAGAACTGGCCTGTTCCCAAGACTTGCTCACAACTCTGGGGGTTCCTTGGATTGGCAAACTATTGCTGTAAGTTTGTAGAAATTTTTTCTTCACTAGTTTTGCCTCTCACTATCCTTACTTCTCCTTCCATTCCTTTTTTCTGGACACCTGAGGCCCAGCTTGCTTTTGATGCTACTAAGGCCGTCTTTGTCTTTGCCCCTGTTCTCCTGATGCCTGATCCTTACAAACCCTTCTTGGTCAAGACTGATGCCAGCAACTATGCCGTTGGCGGTGTTCTCCTTCAGCTTGGGGGGATGGGGTGCAACACCCTGTTACATACCTCTCTAAAAAACACCATCAAGCTGAAAAAAACTACCCTGTACACAACAAGGAACTTCTTGCCATCATTAAAACACTCAAGCATTGGCGTTGCTACCTTGAGGGACTTGACAAACAATTCCTCATTTATACAGACCACAATAACTTGTTTTACTTCACAGAGTCACGTTGCATCTTCCAAAGACATCCTAGATGAGTATTGGAACTATCAAATTTCTGTTTCAAACTCGTATATAAGAAGGGTATACTTAATACCCTCCCCAACGCACTTAGTTTCCACCTGCTAATGTCCAATGTTGACAAAGACTACAAAATCCTCAATACCAAGATTGTTCTTCCTCTCAAGAGTTTCCTCAAACTCAATGTTATCAGCACCACAACTCCTGGCATACTGAAGCAAATCCACAAATCCCAGCTTTCCGACAAGGCCTTGTCCCAGATTATTGACGCTCTTATAAACAATGAGACAGTCACAAACCCTTCCTTCTCTCTGCTAGATGGCGTGTTATTCTTCAAAATCCTTTTGGTAGTCTCCTCCCTGGACCTTCAAAAGTTACTAACCATCACATTCCATGATTCCCTTGCTGCAGGCCACTCCAGCTATAAGAAAACTCTCTAAACTCTACAATCACTTCTGGTGGCCAAAGATTTCCACTTTTGTCAAGTCATATGTCAGTAGTTGCCTTGTTTGCCAGAAAAGCAAATATTCCACCCAGAAATCTGTGGGTCTTCTATGCCCTCTCCCAGTCCCTGAGGGTCCTTTCCAGTCTTCCTCTTTAGATTACATTGTCCAGCTCCCTCAGTCTGAAGGGTTTAACACCATACTGGTCATTGTAGACAGATTCTCAAAGCAGGCTATTTTTTCTCCTTGTAATTCCAATATTACTACAAAGCAGACTGCTTCCCTCTTTGTTAAACACATCTTTATCCACCACAGCACTCCAAGAGATATTGTTTCTAACCATGGACCACAATTTCTTTCCCTGTTATGGAAGGAGTTTATGACCCAGCTAGGAGTTCACCTCTCTCTTAGCACTTCCTACCATCCCCAGTCTGATGGGAAAACCAAACACACAAACCAGACACTAGAATGTTTCCTTTGCTTTTTTTCCAACAAACAACATGACAATTGGGCTTCCCACTTACCTTTAGCCCAGTATTCCTACAATACTACTCCCCATTCCTCTACCAAAATGACACCGTTCATGGCAAATTTAGGCTATACTCCTGCCTTTGTCCCTTCTGTCATCTCCTCTGTCTGTTCCCTGTCAGCCAAGGGGTTTCTGGTCCAGCTAAAACTCATCCAGGATTCTTTAAAATATAATCTTTCTAAGGCTATTGAGGTTTACAAGGTCCAGGCCGACCGTCACCATCAGGAAGAAAAAGCATCCAAGTCAACAATTTTGTATATCTTAATACAGAAAATCTTCCTATCAGATGGCCCTCCCTTAAGCTTGGTCCCTAATTCATATGACCTTTCCTTGTAATAAAAAGGGATGGAAAGGTAGCATACTGTATTCAACTTCCTCTATTGTATCACATCCATGAAGTCTTTCATGCTTCCCTTCTCAAACTCCAGACTGTTCCTCCTCCTTCTCACATGGTTGAAGGAACTCCTTAGTATGAGGTTGAGTCCAGTATCAACCATTGTTATCACTATAGTAAACCCCAATACCTGATTCTTTGGAAAGGATGTTTTATTGAAGAGAGTTCTTGGGAGCCATTGTCCAACCTTAAAAACTGTCCTAAGGCCCTCAATTCTTATATCCAAGCACATCCTGAGCTTGGATCTGGAGGGGATAATGTCATGCCCTGCCCCAAAGGAAGGCTCTTTAGTTCATATAATTATTTGTTTTTTCACTGCACTGCACTGCATAAATCTTTCTTTATTTTAATGCTGAAATTTTAAAGTAAGAACTTAATAATTAAGTATTTTAACTTGATTTACCTTGTTTTATGCTGATTTGCGCTTGAATTGCCACTGTCATTGTCTTTTTTCAGCTATTCTAATATATTATATATTTCTATTTCAAATTTAGAAGATTTCTAATTTTATTTTACCTTTCAAAACTCCTGGTTATGTTGTTGCCGCTTTCCCCAGTTTTCACGTTGCTGATCTGTGGTCCATACTGGCTTCTGTTCCCCCTTCTCCTCCAGCTTCCTTGTGCAGATGTCTCCAGTTGATCCTTTTCTTGGCTGTTTCTCCTATGCCTACCATTTTACAACTGAAAATATGCGCCTATACAATAAAGAGCTTATGAAGATTAGGCTTTAAGCCAAAATTATAAGTGATTTCTTACCTTCAAGCTTTATCAATTTTAACTTTAGATCTTAAATTTTAGGAATCTTGATTTTTATTAATACATTCTAAGTTTTCTTATTTTTTCTTTTCTCCTTAGTTAAATAAATGTAAGTTGTAAAACAACCAGCCTTAAGCTTGTTGTATCTATTGTTTTCCCTTAAAGAATCTTTTAATAGTTACATGTACCAGTTTGCTGATGGAGAGTATCCCAATATTGACATTCCCTTAGTTATTAATTGTTCACTATTAAATACCTTGTTTTATCTTCTTTGTTTAGGGTTATTAAATTGTATCACTCCTTTTGTAACACATTATAAGTTCTTAGCATGATTCTGTAAGATTATATTACAGAAAGTACCATCCTTTTTATACCTTCTGAATCTTAACCCTAATGCTTTACACACTTTAGTTTATAACCTTGCATCACTATGGGCAAGAACTTACAGAGTGGAAAATTTCTAAGAATCTAGATCCTGCTGGCCCACAGAACTGGGCCCTAAAAGGCCTACACCTGGAAGATAGGAACAAACATATCAATTACAACCTGGATATGTAGAGCATTGTCATATGCAGGAAATTTTTAGTGACCAAGTGCAGAAAAAAGATAATTTGAGACCCAAAACCAAAGCCAGAATATCCCAAAATGATTAGGAAGTGGACAGAAGCCAGTAGACTGGTAACAATCACCCCAAGTAAGTCTCTACTCTAATGCAGGTGCCCATGGTGACAAGGGTTGCACAGACTCTGACCTGGAGACTGTTCAACAAGACCTTTTGGAGCAAATCATCCTTCCCAGTGGAGCACCCAATTTCCAGTGTGGTTGTTGCCTCTTTCAGGATGCCAATCAGGAGCACAAATTCTTCAGATGCATAGTTGTATCAAGGTTTGGGCAGAGGTTGCTGGAATGCTAAACCTCTCCGTGCGTTTTCAACCAAAGGTTGAAATATTTTTCATGAGAAGTCTCAAACACCAACCCCTAGTAGTTCAAGCAGTTGCTTACCATCTCACACTGTGGACTATCCACACTACACAAATAGATATAATCTTTGACAATGGGCCAAACCAAGTGTCACTCATAAAGGAGAAATTCTGCACCCTAATGGACAATACTATGATCTGAACAGAAAAATTGGGTCACACAATTCCTGGAAACAGGAAACTTATGGATAGCATTATTGACTCATTCCACCTCATAGTTGATGGAGTCATTCAATGGAAAGACAGGCACACAGAGGACCTCCAGACTGCTACCCCTTCCTCGGAAATCTCAAACTTCCCTTCTTCATGATTGAGTTTCCTTTTAAATGCCATCTCTGAACCCTAATAAACTTGTGTTCCTGTTGCAACCGAGATTCCATCCTCCCCTGCTAATGTATTTCACAATACACAGGGGGTGCTTGATGAGTCGCCCCATGATGTGTCTAACATCATGAATCAATCTGATGGCAATGTCAAATTACGGGCACTATCTCCTAATTAGGAGCACTGCCAATTTGACACACTGATCCCTGTGCAAGTTATTCCATGGTCCCAAACCTTATATGGAACCTGCCACCATGCCGCCCCCTGGTGGCCTTGTGGCTTTCCCTATATAGTATATTAGTCAAAATAATGACCAATAAACCTGATCTTATTATTCTTTTTCTTGTCCTTTCTATTGGACTGTTGTCTTCCCCAATCAATACTGAACTATCATTGGTTCAGTTGCAACATTCCCTCAAAAAAATTGCCTGAGTGGTTTTAGGCGGCCATCTCGTCCTCTGAGGGCCCTGGTTTGATTCTAGGTGCTATCAGTTATTGGATTTTAATGCCAAAGCCTATTTTTTCCCAGACGGCACCTGATGCAAACCCCCACGACCTTGGAAACCTAACACTTACATTCCCCCGGCACCTTCCCTATTTATCGAATAAAGTAATAAAGTAATAAAGTTTCCTGAGCCCCTGCTGGGGGTTCTTGTTTAAAAAAATGGCTGAGCGGTTAAGGTGTGAGCCTAGAAAGCTTATGGGGGTTCCCCGCCCAGGTTCAAATCCTGCAGGTGTGGTTTTATTCCGTTTAAGTTGGGAGAGTGTCCCTGGGCAGCTTGATTCTCGGGATAGATGTGTATGCTCTTGTTAAGCCTGTTGGTTGGGTTTGGGTGGTAGAGTTACTCAAGGTTGGATTTTCATATTCTCGTTGGCTGTCTATTGACGTTTGTGTTTGTTTAATTAGGGGTTCATGTTTGTCATTAAACCAGTATGGGGAATTTGGTTCAGGGTTTCGTACAAAGTGGAGGTGAGCCTTGGTCGGCTTTTTCTTGGGCTAGGAGTGATTGATAGTAATGGTTTGTGGATCGGCAGTGATGCGGGCTCTATTTGGCGTGCTTGGATGTTTTGTATCAGCAAAGCATTGCTTAACGTGTTTTGGCAAATCTAATCCTGAAGCGTGGCTGGTCAGTGTGACTGCTTCAAATCGAAAGCTATGCATATATCGATGAAAGGCATGGTTTTAATTGGGTTACATTGGCCAAGTTGTTCGGATGACCGCAAAGCAGGTGGTGGCTTTGGGTTATGATCTATAGATTAAAATATATGTAGTGTGGGCTTTGGAGGATTTCATTGGCTTGGTTTAGAGTTTATTTAAATATTACAAGCCTAAATTAAATGAAGTGTGGGTGCTCCTTGGTGACTAAATTTTAATTCTGGGGTAGCAGATCTGTCATTATTTTTATATGCGAGAGGGGGTGGGGATTAAACGGTATTGAACGGATTCGGAATCTAATCGGAGTGGTTCCATGGTGCATACCAGGAACGGTTTGGGGCTTAGATGCACAATCATCGATATGCAGGCTTGAGTGATACTGCAAATAGCTAATCCCAAGCCTTTCTAACTTTGTTCTTACAATGTCCAGCAGCAGAAATCGCGCCCGATCCACCACCCGGCGTTCTCACACCACTAGTAATCTTCCGGATAGGGATGATCGTCGCCAGTCTAAGTCACCCTGTTTTCGCGCCGACAATAGTTGGTTTGAAGAGGTTTTCAGGTGTTACATCTGCCTGCAAAATCTGACCAAGCCTACCATATGTCCAAAATGCTCAAAACTATGCTGTGAGCCTTGTATTAAGGTATTGACTACCTTGGTTTGCATACAACAATTATATCGCCTTTTCTAAAGTCTTTTAACAATACATTTTATTTCCTTGCCCCTTTTTATTTCCTTCGGATTTAAATTTTTATAAAAAAGTACTTTATTGATATTATTTCTAACCCTAGCTTAGAAATGGCTACGTGAACAAAAAGAAGAATGTCCACATTGTCGAGCAAACATTGATCAAACACACCTTGTCCCTTGTCGGTTCCTAGATGACATTCAAGAGGTATCTTCACTTGGGCTCGCAATTCTTACTTTTTATAGCAACTTAAAAATCTCACAACAAATGAAATTGATTCCATAGACCTTTGCCCAGATCACAAAACCCGCATGACTTATTATTGTCACACTTGTCAGATCTCGATCTGTTCAGACTGTGGCATGTTTGGACTTAAGGTAATTGCTTTATCTTTAAGTTGCTCAAATTTATAGCACCGTGATCACAAGTTTGAACATCTGGGTGCCATTTATGATCAGAGAGTCGAAGGACTAAAGTCTTATCTTGTGGCTCTTCGCAAGCGCATGGCCAAGTTTGCTAAAAAGATCAAAGAAGTTGATCGGAAAGTTCAGAATTGTAATCTGGCCAAGATAGAGGTGACATTCCTTTTAACTCACCATACTAATATTTTAGTCTGATAGAGAGCTAGTGGGCCTAGTTAACCGCTACCGCACCAACCTCGAACTACAGCTTCGCGAAAAACACAATATCTTATTCTCGCAGCGCGGGACACTTGTAAAGCAAGCTGATTTTCTCCAAGCCACCATCAACAAACTAGATAGCGTTTTAAAAAGTCACTCTCAAGTTGAAGTTCTCCAAAGTGATGAAAAAGTGATACACATCCTTAAGCAAGTAGAGCAGGTGATTTTGCACAACCCTGGAGACGAAGTCAGCGTCGACATGACTTTTGAAAAAGATTTTCTCCCCTCTTACGATTTGTATCGCTTCAATATTCCGCGCTTCAGGTAAAAGCACTTCCTGACATAAATAACCATTTCAGCCAACTCCTCGAGATGGGCATATTTGAGTCCAATCTGGTTTCACAGGGCGGACTTGTATGGCGGTTGCGTGCAAGTATTGAAGGAAAAACCGAAAAGTGTAGTGGTCACTTGGCTCTTTTCATACATCTTCTCCAAGGGGATCCCCAGCCTTCACGCTATTATATCCGAGTTGAGATGAAGCACCCCACCCGGCCAGACTCGGTAATACGCGAGTTTCCCTTCGATTTGAAGGCAGGCGATGCCCGTGGGTTTCGCCAGTTCTGTCGCATCCAGACTTTGGTAGCGAAAGGCTTTGTTGACCCTAGCGGTAGCTATCCCCAGCTCATCTGTGGCATTCGGCCGCTATCGTACCGTCAGCGTAGCCGTGATCAGCGCCGTTACATCCTTGAGCTGGAAAGCCAACTGGCACAGCATAAAGCAGCTTCCACCACCATCCTTGCTGAAACGCCCGACACCGACACGGATGATGCCTATGGTGAGGAGCTGGTTGGGTCTAGCGACGCCATGTTGGTTGTTTCCCCAGTCACAGATCAGGGACCCTCTGTATCGCTTTTAAGGGATGACTCATCACAGCAGGACGTTGGACCATCAAATCCTGCTCGCCCTGTCAGTCCATTTGATTGTGATTTCCACCAGGCGCCCCAGCCGAATATTCCACCGCCACTCCGCTCAGCTAAGATCCCTTTATCGCGTGGAGAGATGCACCGTCGTCGCACTTCTCGTTCTGGGGGGATTCCGCATAGCGAAAACTCGTCTGACTCAGAGTACGACGAAGACATGGACCAATGCTCTGCAATCCCCTCCTTCACCAGCACCGATGAACTCCGCCAGCTCATCCATCAGGAGTTCGACACTTGGTCGGGCAACCTCTCGGCCCTCGCCCCATGCCCCGTCATTCGTTCGCGTATACTTAATAGCTCATCCCATTCCGACTCAGCCTCGTCAGGCTTATCTTCCTCATGCCCCACCCCTGGCCAACCTCCTCTCGCATCGCCTGTTATAATTGACGCTGAGCCTACTCGCTCGCGTCACCGTAGCCATAGTGCAGCCACATACTACGCATTCAACTCACCCTCCCGTAGCTCCTTCTCTGTATATGCCGCTCCCAGCTCACCCTCTTCGTCAGAGATATGACTTTAACACTTGTATCCCAAACCATAGATTTATACTACACATCCATCTGCCATGCAATACGTTTCTAACTTAGCCAACCTTGTCCTGAGCAACATCTTTAACGCTCTAAATTCTTATCCCCAGCTTATAGCATTGTACTCACCAGAGCCCAAAGCCACATAGTTGAACTTGTTTGGATTATTTTATATCACCAACCAAAAACACCACTGAAGATTAAGTAGGGCATTGTAAACACTAGCCAGATATGCATAGATTATGCTTGTGTCTAACTCCTTATCTCATGCTAGGTAGGGTATGCTTCAGAAGTAATAGCATATGCTACGGCCTGAGAAGATAATTTAATTTGTCCCTAAAGAAGTAAGATCACTCAATACTTAAGAATATAACTCAGGGATGAGAGTTTTAACTTTTGGAGTTAAAGTCACTCAGTTTTCTCAAAGATTAAAAGCGAGCTACTTTAAGGGTTAAAATAAAGCTTGAAGAAAATCAAATCCAAACCGCTCCACCCTTTATTACAATTTAAACCAAATGGTTTCAGCAAAGAGATATTTAAACTCCGATGAACTTTTCAGTCCATCAGCAAAACTAAAACAGGGTTCAAAAGTCTCAGCTGATGCAAAAGGGAATATATATTAAACTCCAAGCTACTTCTTATATGCAACAAATCCAAAACAATAATTGTATATAAACCACCGCCTCAAAACCACGTAGGTTGACCATTTTTATGTAAATGGCTCTGGAATAGTTTTGGATACGAGTATCAAACTCATTGGCTTACAAGGAAATGCTACCATATATATTATTACAGCATCTTCGATCACTCCCTCTCAGGAAATCATTTCCCCGAGAACTGACTTGATTGCTAAACCGTAGGTGGTACTGTTGCCACACTCCAACGCTATACAAGGATCATAAATTTAGAGGGGAACAGTCGACTTCAATTTGGCACTTAGGCCAAAGCCTACTAGCCGTGTTCTAAATAAACTAATTTTTTATATTGCATTTCATAGTCGGAATCGATAATCAACGATAAAACAAAGCCAATGTCGACACCAACTAAGAATAGGCTTAATTATTATTACAAAATGAGAAGGAAATCACTATTAAAAATACCAAGTTGTTATATTTTAAATTTAAGCTCAACTTCAACAATGAATCTCCACAATGTCGACATAAAATAACAGTTTATAATATTCTTAATAAAAATCCACGTAATCCAGAATATCTTCACTTATAATAAGTTATTTATATTTGGCCCTTTGTTTCATAGTTGTTTGACATATAGTGGATAAAAATTTCAAGCTTTGTTTTATATTAGTGGTTTATTATAGCTTTGCAACCATAGGATGTGTTCCGGTTAACCCTTAAACATTGGATTAAGCTAGATTGTATAGGTTAAAACTAAGATTAATATAGTGTCATTTTAAGTCGACACAAAGGGAATCCAGCACAAAAGCAAAAGTGGGACAAGGGGAATAAGTTAAGCAAGCACAATGACATAATTTAAGCGAGATTTAATAGCAGCTCCACTATAAAAGAAGACCAACTCTGGCAAAGTTGTCACCTTCACTGGTTTAATAAGAAAAAGATGTGGCTTAAAAATTTCAACTTACAGAATGGTAAGCTTAGAACCCCAAAACTTCACATAATAATAATAAAACTACTACTTACAATATGTAGTTCTTGGTTTTCAAAAGTTATATGAATATAACTTTATTATAGCCCAAACACCAAATAGCATAGTTTCAGTCTAGATTTCAAATCTGATCTTAATTTAATTAAGAGT